GGTGGTGGTCGGTGGTGGTGGTCGGCGGTGGTTCAGACCGGTGGTAGTCGGTGGTGGTTCAGACCGGTGGTGGTCGGTGGTGGTGGTCAGCGGTGATTCAGTCCGGTGGTGGTCGGTGGTGGTGGTCAGCGGTGATTTAGTCCGGTGGTGGTGGTCGACGGTGATTCAGTCCGGTGGTGGTCGGTGGTGGTGGTCGGCGGTGATTCAAACTGGTGGTGGTTGGTGGTGGTGGTCGGCGGATGTTTAGACCGGTGGTAGTCGGTGGTGGTGATCGGCGGTGGTTCAGACTGGTGGTAGTCGGTGGTGGTGGTCGGCGGTGGTTCAAACCAGTGGTTAGGGGTGCTCACGGCCCGGATTGATCGGTTTGGAGCCGTTTTAACAACCCAACCCAATGTTGGCAGTTTGAAAATTTTCAACCCAACCCAACCCAAACAAAAGTTCAACCCAACCCAACCCGTTCGGGTTGATCGGGTTGTGTTTAAACAATGTAAAATCACATAAAAATAAACAAAATTTTCCTTTGAAATACCACCGACCATTCATGATAATATGCAAATTCATCAAATATTTAGATATTACAATAAAAATGTTTAAACCAAATGATAATACATCAATCAACAACAATAGTTTTAGACGTTTCCAACCCCGATGCTTTCGCTTTCTTGACGTTGAGGTTGGGCATGTCATGATTGTCATGTACAATTCATAGCTAAAGTTAAGGTCGGGTTGTCGGGTTGGTCGGGTTTTTTTGGGCCTGACCCGATTCCAACTCAATAAGGTCGGGTTGGCTAATTTTTTTATCGATCATACATCGGGTTACCTCAGGTTGTGTTTTTTTTTTAAATTCGAGTTGGGTCGGTCGGGTTCATCGGGTTTTTGAGCACCTGTTGGGTTTCAGTAAGAGCGTTAAAGTTGTATTCAAGTTTCTCTATAGTGTAGTTTTATATTGTAATAGTGTAGCCTTTACATTTCCTTGTATAAATAGTATTTTCCTTGTAATTGTCATTACGAAGTCATTAGCAGAATTGTAATCAAGATTAGAGCTGTAATTTTCTCTCTCTTAATCAAATCAATCTTTGATGATATTCTCTCTACTTTTATGTTCATCTTGATTCTTGAATATCTTATCATGTTTATATGATTTCTGGACTTCACAATTGGTATCAAAGCAGACTGCAACAGTTTTGATTAGAAGATTGAACAAAATTTGCACAATTTTTCACGAATTTTTGAAGATTCATCGATCTGGGTCAAAGATGTTCATCATTGTTCTTGAGTGTTCTTCGTCCAGATTGGGTTTTTGATTTTAAATCGGTTAATTTTTGAGTATTAATTGTAAAGATTTACATCGCTAGTTTCGTTTTTGTATTTCGAACAATTTTGATTCACACTATTTTTGATTTTAAGCAAGTTTTAAACAAGTTTTAGACGAAACTTGAGTTTTTGTATTCTGACAAATGTTCTTCAAAACTCATAATTTTTCATGTTTTGATCCAAAATTTTGGTAAAAAGTGTGAAAGTTTGTGTTTTTGTTTGAATATTAGTCCGCTTAAAGCTTGTACGATTTAGGGTGTTATCTGCTTAATTCTTGTGCGATTTAACATCCGTGTGAATTTTGAGTTGTTTGACATAGGTTTATCCGGACAACACTTGTGCGGATCATTGAGCGATTTAGCAATCCGTCTGGTAAACCGTTGAACACTTGAACGGATTAGTGAGCGATTTAGCTAATCCGACTGGTAAGTCTTTAGTAACTTGAACGGATTAGTGGGCGATTTACATAATCCGACTGGTTAGTCGTTGAAGGTTTGTGCGATTTAATAAGCGATTTAAAGAATCCGTTTGGTAAGACTTAGTAATTATGTCTACTTGAGCGATTTATAATTGTGATCGTACATTCTTTGGTGTTTGAACGGATTTTGACTATTTGATCGATTTAATTCTTTGACTTTTCATCGATTTGTTTTAAAAGGACTTGTTGACTTAGTTGACCTTGACTTGTTGACTTTTTACGTCCGATTTTCATTTTGGAATTTTGACTAAGTGTTAAAAACGTCCGATTTGAAAATTTTAATTCAAATTGAATTTTGTGCCTTATCCGTATTTCATTTTGCATAATCCGTCTAAATTTTGCATTC